ACTATTAGCTTAACAAGACACAATGAATCTGGTTTCTTACACATTCCACCCTATTTCAGGCCCCACAAGGAATGCTACTCTCTCTCTCTCTCTTCACTTTATTCTCTTGGCAGTTCTTCCCTTGATTTCCCTTGATGGTGCCTCCTCTGGGGAACTCACATCCCCTATCTTGTGGTTGGCAGAGAAATACCTTTACCCCTATGACTTCCAATCTTTTCTTTCCAACCCTCAACATACCCCCCATGGTCCTGCTTTCTCTTTTTTTTTTTCCAAGACAGAGTCACTCTTTGCCCAGGCTAGAGTGCCGTGGTGCCAGCCTAGCTTATAGCAACCTCAAACTCCTGGGTTCAGCCTCCTGAGTAGCTGGGACTACAGGCATGCACCACCATGCCCCGCTAATTTTTGCTATACATTTTAAGTTGTCCAGCTAATTTCTTTCTATTTTTTTTAGTAGAGACGGGGTCTCATTTTTGCTCAGGCTGGTCTTGAACTCCTGAGCTCAAATGATCCACACACCTCAGCCTCCCAGAGTGCTAGGATTACAGCTGCTTTCTCTTTCATACCCTTTTGCTTCCTACATTCAGAGTTCCTCTTTTTCTGGTGGGGTTTATCAGGTCTTCTGCCCTAATTCTGTCCTGTTTTGTTCTCTGTTGGAGCGTTAGAGCCAGGGGCCAAGCAAAAAGAGAAGGAGAGGCCTTCACAGTGGTCTGACATTAAGATAAGATGTCTGGGGAAAAAAAAATCAAATTTTTCACACTTTACAAGTTAAAAATTCTGTAGGCATTTCCTGTGTGATGTTTTGCTAAAAGAGTGTCTCCCTTTGTCATCCAGCCAAATATCTCCAGGAAGAGGAAAAGAATAGGCAAAAAAAAAAAAAAAGCCATTCTGCCCCATTGTTGAAGGTGGCAGTAAAGGCAGCTAAACAAGCATCAGTTACACACACACACACACACAATCTTTATCTGTGATACTTTGCCAAATTAATTGAAGCATATTTTATAAAAAGGCGTTTCTGTATAGTATTCTCCCTATAAAGCATCTCACAAGCAAAACAAAACAAACAGATAAAAACCAGTATATCAAGGAGTATGCACTGGATTCAGTTCTGAAGATTTCTAGAAGGAGCTATTCTGGGACTCAAGATCTTTTCAGCAGCCCTGGGCTCAATAACAACCTGAAAATGATCATTCTGAAGTTGCATAAAAGCAGAGAGGGCTGGAAAATTATCATAACTTCAGCAGAAATACTTTATAGGCTATCGTGTGTCTGTGTCATGCCCTTAGTTTAATTCCCAAACTAGTCCACTTGTATACATACATCTTGGTGTAAAAATACCCTGTACAGATACCAGTTCAGCACCTCTCCTCCCAAATCCAATTCTAAAAATCTACAAGAATTCAAACTATAGGAGTCACCCTTTTTCTGTGGGGGATATTTTCCAAGACCCCCAGTGGATGCCTGAAACTGCGGATGATACTGAACCCTATATATACTATGTTGTTTTTTCCTATATATACATACCTATGATAACGTTTAATATATAAATTAGGCACAGTAAGACATTAGCAACAATAACTAATAATAACATAGAACAATTATACTGTAATAAAAATCATGTGAATGTGGTCTCTCGCAAAATACTGTAATATTCTTAGACTGCAGTTGACCACAGGTAACTGAAACCATGGAAAGTAAAACTGCCGATAAGAGGGGACTACTGTGTGGTAAAAAAAGTTAAGATTTAAGAACTGATTGCATACCTGCTTTTCAAGGTTGCCTGTGTATGACTGATCTCTAGAAATAGAAAAAAATGGTCACTATAACAATACATGTTGGCTTTTGTGGTCCAGCAAATAAGTAAGCAGTGGCCATCTGTTCCATTTGGCATCCTTAGTTGGAAAAGTTTACATTCCTATACACTAATAATTTAATGAGCTATTTATTATTTGGAAAGTATCATTTAATTAGATTCTAGATATTTGGTAATGTTTGTGTAATGAACTCCCAGCTAACAAACATATTATGATCTCAACATTTTTCCTCTCCTTGTAGAATCATTGACATATTTAACAAGGTATCCTGAGCCAATTTTGAAACCTAATGATGGATTTGGATGATTTTTTGTTTTTGTTTTGTATAGATCACATTTATTTTAATGTTTAATATAATAAGTGTTTTGATGTTTATTTAGAAGGTTTTGTGACCAGAAATAAGATGTAGGAACCGAAATCTAGTTTATATCAATTAGCCTATAGTAAAATTATTTTTGTTACACGTCATTACATTTAAAGTTGCAGTTTTCTGGATGAGTTATTAGATCAAATTTTTTTCTATATTATTTCTTTTCTCAGTATATCTCCTCAGTGTTATTATATCTTTATTTTAGGATCTCCTTTCCCCACCCCGTTTTTAAAAACTACTTAGTTAAGTCTCCTTAAGTAAACTACTACAGATAGATGCATATCCTAATTAATTATGTGAAAACACTATATGAAATATAAGCAACTAAGTTATAGTAATTAACCATTCCCAGCTTTTAAAATTTTTTCTTGTTGCTAGTCACTTGAGAAAATGTCTTTCTTGATTTCCTTACTTCTATTGATTAGTTCTCCATGTGGAACAAAATTGACCATAATCATGGCTTCGAAATGCAAAAGCAGTACTGGGGGTACATTTATAAGAAAAGTGCTAGTTTTGAAGACATATCATATAATACATAGTTGTCAGTGATATCAATTTTTATAATCTTGAACCTAGAAGTCATCTTTAGAGACCTCATAGTTGGAGGCAATGGTAAGTATATGAAAGTTTGCTTGGGGTCTAACTGGGAGAGCCTTAAGTACTTGGTTAAGGAGTTTGAATTTTTTCCCCTAGAATCAAAAGGGATTCACTGAGGTTGTTCTGAGTACAGAAAAGATAAGGAAAACAGTATTTTAGTAAAATTAGTTTGCATAATTTTGTACAATAGATTTGAATGGAGAAAAGAAATATGTGAAGATTAATTAAGAAGCAACTGTGGTAGTTCAAGCTTTAGGGGAAAAGGCCTAAACTAAGATATCTGTTTGTGGGCATGGAAAGGAAGGCTAATGCAAGATCGTGCATGGGAAGAATCAGTTGAACTTGCTAACACAATTGGAGGTGGGAATTATGGGAAGGGGAACCAAAAGTGACTCTCAGTTTCTAAAGTATGGCCATCTGGGATAAAGATAGTGCCACTAGCATTTACACTGGAGACAATGATGATGTTAGTTTTAAATGTGCCGAGTCTAAAGGTATAATAACATACTTAAGTGGAAATGTTGAGGACATGGTTGGGAATTCAGGACCAGAATTTAGTAATCAAATTTCAATATAAACATTTGAAATTGATCCAGTAGGAGTTGGAAATATAATTCAGTTTGAATCAGTTAAATAAGTCAACAAACACTTGTATGCTTTCTATAAGAGCATGTGATATCTCTGAGCAAATGCATATAACAATAGAAGAGCAGAAACTTGAGGATTTAACTTTGGAACTTTGGGTAATTCTCAATTAGAAGACAAAAAGAAAAAAAAAACAAAAACAGAGAACCAATAAGAAAGAGTGAGGCCGGGCGCTGTGGCTCATGCCTGTAATCCTAGCACTCTGGGAGGATGAGGCAGGCGGATTGCTCGAGGTCAGGAGTTCGAGACCAGCTTGAGCAAGAGCGAGACCACGTCTCTACTATAAAGAGAAAGAAATTAATTGGCCAACTAATATATAGAGAAAAAATTAGCCGGGCATGGTGGCGCATGCTTGTAGTCCCTGCTACTCGGGAGGCTGAGGCAGCAGGATTGCTTGAGCCCAGGAGTTTGAGGTTCCTGTGAGCTAGGCTGACGCCATGGCACTCACTCTAGCCTGGGCAACAAAGCGAGACTCTGTCTCAAAAAAAAGAAAGAAAGAAAGAAAGAAAGAAAGAGTGAGAAGTGGGAAGGAGAACCAAGATAACATAAACTAATGAGGGCCAAAGTAGGAGGAAATTTCAAGAAGGAAGTTAAGGAGAATGAAGACTGAGTAGATGCTGAGGGATCTAGCCCATTGGAGATATATATTGTTCCTCATGTGACCACTCACCATTAAATGGTGGGAAAATAATGAAAATTATTTTCTTCAGTTTAATTCAACAAATATTTTTATTATCATAGATGTCACCTCCTTCCATCTTTTGCAAATTGAGTAAAGGCTCACAAAAGCTAGGTCTAGTAAATGTGGTTTCTTGGAATGATAAACAAAATTTGGAACAAGGTTGATTCCTAAGAGCCAAAGAGTCATGTCCTCTGACCTTAAATTTTGGTCTATAGTATAATATTAGAAAAGAGAATAATTGTAAGGAGTTACTTCACTATTTTGAGGAATCTTGCTCAACCACATTAAGCTAGCTCCTGCCTGGCACAGATCATATTCTACCAATAGAATATGATATTCTTTAAAGATTATTGTTTGGTTGAGGAGTGGGCTTAAAGTTTGGATCATATAAAAAAAATGACCATTTGGGGGATTGAAATCTTGGAAATTTGCTACATATAGACTTTATACACTTAAGCTCCATTTCCACTTAGGAAAAAAAGTGATCTGAAGTAAAAAGACTAATGTAACTTAATAACTTTCCTGTTGACCATTAAACTAAATATAAATAGCAACTATAAAGAAAGTAAATCAAACTTTCAATATCTGCCCTTTGGGTGGAGCATAGAGCTTCCTCTCAGAAGATATTTAGTTATTACAATATTCACCAGTTTCACCTCTAAGTTTTAGCTATTTGTGGCTCAGCTGCAGTAAGTGTGATCTTTTCACTTCTCCAAATGCTACTGAACTCTGCTGTCCTTATGTCCTGCAGCTCTGTTCTGAATGGAGTCAGCCCCATAGGATGTTAAAAGGCTTGAGATAGAATGTTTGGGCAGTGAAGAAGGAAAGTTCTCTACAGACAGATTCTTACCTCCTTTCTCTAGAAAGATTAATTATTCTTGGAATTTTATTACAGAAGCTGAAATGGCAATCTACCAAGTACAAAGCAGACAAAACCTATCCTACAACTGTGGCTGAGAGGCCCAAGAATATCAAGAAAAACAGATATAAAGATATTTTGCCCTGTAAGTTCCATTTTTCCCTATAAACTCACACTTTCTCCCAAATTCAATCACTGCTATCTCTTTTTACCCATTGCTTGCTGTTCCTAATCTTAGAACAGGGCATTGGCAAATGAGTTTGCATTATTTATGAATGCAAAAAATGCATTCATTCAGTTGCTCACTCATGAGTATCCATTATTCACAGTGTTAGCCTCTGACTTACAGTAAACCCCCTGACTAAGCCCTCTTAATTATACTATGCCTTTCTTTTGTATTATAGATGATTATAGCCGGGTAGCACTGTCCCTGATAACCTCTGATGAAGATTCCAGCTACATCAATGCCAACTTCATTAAGGTACATTGAAAGGAAATAAAAGCATTCTATATTTCTCATACTTGATCTTAGCCAAAAGGCCGAGAAGTGACTATATTTCTCTAGATACCTAAAAAAAAAAGGTGTAGGTTCGGGGGGAAACAGGTGAGAAGAAAAGTGTATTATCTATAGTTACCCCATATAATTTCTATTCCCTTTTAGGGAGTTTATGGACCCAAGGCTTATATTGCCACCCAAGGTCCTTTATCTTCAACTTTACTGGACTTCTGGAGGATGATTTGGGAATACAGTGTCCTGGTAAGTGTAGAGTTGTTTTTATTACTACTTTATTCTTTAGTTCTTAGTATTAGAGAGGGTAGAATATCAGGATGTGTGACTGAGACTTCCTATCTATTAAAACTAATGCTTTTTTTGTTAATTGGCTGATGGAATTTCAGAGTTCAGGCATCAAAATCACAATGTCATTCTTGTTCAAGGAAATAGTAGTTCTTATCTTGACAGGATCATTTGGTAACAAGAATTTACTGATTTGACTAGAGAAATGGGAAGTAGGGATGGAAAAAAGGAAGAGTAAGAGCAGCATTTTATAAGTTACCAGGATTTCTTTTTTGGTTAAAAAACAAACGAAACAGGCCAGGTGCAGTGGCTCACTCCTATAACCCTAGCACTGTGGGAGGCCGAGGCAGAACTGCTTGAGGCCAGGAGTTTGAGACCAGCCTGAGCAAGAACAAGACCCTGTCTCTACAAGATATAGAAAAATTAGCCAGGTGTAGTGGCACATCTGTAGTCCCAGCTACTCAGGAGGCTGAGGCAGAAGAATTGCTTGAACCCAGGAATATAAGGTTGCAGTGAGCTATGATGATGCCACTGCACTCTAGCTGGGGTGACAGAGTGAGACACCAACTCAAAGAAAAACAAAACAAACAAAACTGAAAAGAATGAATAACAATTTCTGACTCTGGAACTCATGTATTAACTGCTCTAACTATATAAATGTTTAAGTTTCTATTTCATCCCCCCAGATCATTGTTATGGCATGCATGGAGTTTGAAATGGGAAAGGTGAGTTACTTTCTAGTGCCTGCTGACTTAAAGGTAAGGAAAGAAGAAAAAGGATGGAAAAATTGGCAGCAGAAATTACCTTAAGTGTACCTAGGTAAAAATTATGTTATTCTCCTAGTTTTCAGTTTGGGAATGCCACATGACTCTTGGGTTGGTTTTCTTTTTTACCCCTAAGAACCCCTATTATTCATTTTCCCAGTAGACTCTTATGTTTTAAGGTAAAAAAATATATGTTTTTTAAAGTAACAATTTACTTTCCCATTTCTAGTAATCAGACATCTTTAACTGCTAGTCAGAGCTTCTAATCCTGTGCTGACCAACATGGCATCTACTAGCCACATATAGCTATTAAGCACTTAAAATATGGCTATTGTGACTGAGAAACTCAATTATTTTGTTTAATTTTAAGTAATTTAAATTTTAAAACTGGTACTCAGTTCGATTAATGGAAAACCTTAAGTATGGAACAACTTGGGTATGTGAAAAATTTTCATATGTAAATTCTATTAAATCTAAATGGAAAAATATTTCCAGTAAAAATTTAGCATCTTAATTGAGATTAGCTATAAATATAAAATACACACTGGGTTTTGAAGACTTAGTAAAAAAAAAAGTCAAATATCTAATTACTATTTTATATTGATTATACATTGAAATTTTTGTATATTGGGCTAAGATGTTATTAAAATTAATTTCATCTGTTTTTATTTCTTAACGTGACTTTTAGAAAATTTTAAATTACCTATGTGGTTCACATTTATTTTTACTGGACATCATTGTTCTAACCTACTGTTGCCTTCCTCAGTTGATAATTCTAATCAAAACCAAGGAAATTTGGTATTTTAGCTGTTTTTTTTTTCAAATTAATAGAGACGGGTGGGGAGGTCTCACTCTTGCTTAGGCTGGTCTCCAACTCCTGAGCTCAAGCAATCCTCCTGCTTTAGCTTCCCAGAATGCTAGAGTCTTGTACAGTTGTTTTAATAGACATATAATTTCTGTTGGTCCTTTTGAAATGCTGAAAATAGGGCAAACATCCCTATTTCCACTATTTCAGACTTCCAGGAAGTCTATAATTTGTATCCTTTAATGTTAATTTTCCCATCCTTGGAGATTACAATGATACAGGAGTTGAAACCCAAGGGGGTTAGAAGTACCTAACCTAAGATGAAGGACAAGAGCTGAAGTTGCTTCTGAATGAGGGAGTGAGTTTTATTTCCCAGAAGAGACTAGAATATATGGAGAAAAATCACTACATTTTGCTTTGTGCAACAGAAAAAATGTGAGCGCTACTGGGCTGACCCAGGAGAGATGCAGCTGCAGTTTGGCCCTTTCTCTATATCCTGTGTAAGTATAAGGTCTGTTCCCATTATGGCTGAGCAAAGGCTCCAGGATTTAGTTTATAGAGAGCTTACTTGCCTTTGAAATTACTAATATTTTAATCTTCTTCTTCTTCTTAGGAAGCTGAAAAAAGGAAATCCGATTACGTTATCAGGACTCTAAAAGCCAAGTTCAATAGTGTAAGTATAAAACAAGAGTTATAAACTCAAAAGCCTATGGATATTAGGGACATAAATATATATGTGTGTGACTCAGGATAGGCATAAGAAAACGGGGAGTGGTGGAGTCTTTGATGTCCTAAATAAGTCTTCATATTTGAGATACCTTTGCTGTAATCTGTGCTTCCCAATCAATTCCACACCACAACACACATATAAAATGATAATATTTGTAGGGTAAATAGAGGCTGAACAGTGAATAGAGACTGGGGATCAAGATGTGAGCTCAGGCTGTCCTAGGCCCTACTCAACCTTTCTAAGGCAAAGGGATTTAATATATCAGCATACCTGTGACCCATTTGAAGCACACCAGTTGGGAAGCTGTGGTTTGAACTATTTTCATATCTGTCTCCTCTTGTGAATAGGGCAGATGGGGACAAGCTAATAGTAAGTGACCCGAAATCACTTTTAATTGTTCTCAGAAAGCACCTGGTCACCAGAGATCTATAGAGAAGAAAGTAGAATAAATTGCAAAAAGGAATATAGATATAACTTAGGCCGGGCACGGTGGCTCACGCCTATAATCCTAGAACTCTGGGAGGCCGAGGCGGGCAGATCGCTCAAGATCAGGAGTTTGAAACCAGCCTGAGCAAGAGCGAGACCCCATGTCTACTACAAATAGAAAGAAATTAGCTTGACAACTAAAAATATATATAAAAAATTAACTGGGCATGGTGGTGCATGCCTGTAGTCTCAGCTACTTGGGAGGCTGAGGCAGAAGGATTGCTTGAGCCCAGGAATTTGAGGTTGCTATGAGCTAGGCTGATGCCACGGCACTCTAGCTTGAGCAACAGAGTGAGACTCTGTCTCAATAAATAAATAAATAAAAAATAAAGAAATATGTAGATATAACTTAGTAAGTCAGACTAAGGTTAGGTGAAGTCCTAACCTTGAAATCTCTTTATTTTGACTATTATTTTATAGGAAACTCGAACTATCTACCAGTTTCATTATAAGAATTGGCCAGACCATGATGTGCCCTCATCTATAGACCCTATTCTTGAGCTCATCTGGGATGTGCGTTGTTACCAAGAAGATGACAGTGTTCCCATATGCATTCACTGCAGGTATGATGCTGTGTATGAGCCTTCTACCTAGAAGAAACCAAATATCAAATTCTGGCTAGGACTCTGGAATTAAAAGGGAGGGTCAAAAAAAATAAATAAAAAAAAAATTAAAGAAAAAGGGAGGGTCAATAGCAGAAAAAGCTATAAAAATTCAACTTGAGCATTGAATTCATATTTCCCTGATAAGTTACTTGTGTACTGTACAGCTCTAGATATCCATGCCCTGAGAAGTTGCTTAGGACCTGTCCTGAGGTTCACGGTGGCATGACAAATGTGCTTTGGGAAATGGTAGGGTTTGAAAAGTTTCATTGCCTCTAGGTTTCTTCTTCCTCAAATCTGGTGGTGAAATTTTCCAGCTATTGTCCATGACCCACTCTCTACAAGGGTACATGCTACTGTGATCTTTCATTTCAGTGCTGGCTGTGGAAGGACTGGTGTTATTTGTGCTATTGATTATACATGGATGTTGCTGAAAGATGGGGTGAGTTTCTCTCAACAGGTATTTCCCATTTGCTTACTCTATCTGCTTTCAGGCTTGGGAATTGTTTGGTTTTTCAAAATATGTACCTTCGTGATTCATCTTTTCTAGAATATATTCGCCTATAGACTCACCCTGTCAGATGATTAATTTAGTTCTTAAGTAGGTGGTTCTTAAAATGTAGTCTCCAGACAAGAAGCCTCAGTATCACCTGAGAACTTGTTAAAAATGCAAATTGTTTGACCCCACCCCAATGGATTGAATTAGAAACTCTGGAGGTAGGGCCCAGCAAGCTTGAGGTGAATCTGATGCACGCTAAAGTTTGAGAACCACTGCTCAAATTACATAGTTACCCTTCCTTTATCCAAACTGCTTTAGTAAATGGATTCAACTAACTATAATCAAATTTTGTGTTCCAATCTCTAAATCACTTTAAATGTCTAATAGGAAATGGGAAGTTTAAAATATGGGCTTTAGATTTATCTGTCAACTTTTATTTCATAAAACTCTCATGCTTGCTCATCTGAGCCCTTGTCCTTCATTATTTCTTTAGTTTGAGACATTTGATTACACCATGTGAAATCATTCTGAAGAGTTTTTTCAGTCATTTCTAGGGAAAGCACCAGGCTCTAAAAATCATGTTGCAAATGATAAGAAACCTCATTTGTTTTAAAAATTCATTCTTTTTCTGATATTATCCCATGTCAGGAGAGTAGATGTCATGGAAGTATGAGACTATGAAAAAGTAGCAATACTTTTCAACAGAGGATCAAAAATAATAAAATATTTTTCCCTTTTATTTGATAGATAATTCCTGAGAACTTCAGTGTTTTTAGTTTGATCCAGGAAATGCGAACACAGAGGCCTTCATTAGTTCAAACTCAGGTATGGTATATGGTGAATGGATCAGAACATGTGTCTGAGCTTTGTTCCATCTCTGTTTAATGGTATGGCATTGAAAAACAGCTGAGGAGTAGACGAGGCAGCCATGTGAAGAAAAAGCAGAGATGGAAGTTGTGCAGCTATAAACCAAGGAATACCACGGATTGCCAGCAACCACCAGATATTGGGGAGAGGCATAGAATGGGTTTTCCCTTAGAGCCTCTAGAAGGAATCAGCCCGGCTCACACTTTGCTTTCAAGCTTCTGGCCTGCAGAATTATGAAAGAATAAATTTCTGTTGTTTGAAACAAAAAAAAAAAAAAAAGGCTGGGCATGGTGGCTCACGCCTGTAATCCTAGCACTCTGGGAGGCTAAGGCAGGAGGATTGCTTGAGCTCAGGAGTTGGAGATCAGCCTGAGCAAGAGTGAGACCCCCACCTGTCTCTATTATTAAAAAAAAACAAAAAACAGCTGACTGCTTGGAAATAAATAATTTACTATTAAGTGCTTTTTTTTTTTGTAAGTGCTTTTTTTTCCTTTTGAGACAGAGTCTCGCTTTGTTGCCCAGGCTAGAGTGAGTGCCGTGGCATCAGCCTAGCTCACAGCAACCTCTAACTCCTGGGCTCAAGCAATTGTATTTGCCTCAGCTTCTCGAGTAGCTAGGACTAATTTTTCTATATATATTTTTAGTTTGCCAATTAATTAATTTTTTTTTTTTGAGATAGAGTCTCACTTTGTTGCCCAGGTAGAGTGAGTGCCATGGCGTCAGCCTAGCTCACAGCAACCTCAAACTCCTGGGCTCAAGGAATCCTGCTGCCTCAGCCTCCCGAGTAGCAGGGACTACAGGCATGTGCCATCATGCCCAGCTAATTTTTTTTCTATATATATTAGTTGGCCAATTAATTTCTTTCTATTTATAGTAGAGACAGGGTCTGGCTCTTCCTCAGGCTGGTTTCAAACTCCTGACCTTGAGCAATCCGCCCGCCTTGGCCTCCTAGAGTGCTAGGATTACAGACGTGAGCCACCGCGCCCGGCCTAATTTCTATTTTTAATAGAGACGGGGTCTGGCTCTTCCTCAGGCTGGTTTCAAACTCCTGACCTCGAGCAATCCTCCCACCTTGGCCTCCCAGAGTGCTAGGATTATAGGCATGAGCCACCACGCCCCGCCTACTATTAAGTGCTTTAAAGTCCTTTGCCATTTCCTCTAACTTTGAATATTCCAGCATTTTGTGTGTATCCCTTGTCCTGGAACAAATTCCTTTCATTCCTTAAATTTTATTGTTTCTTCATAAAATATTGAGAAACCAATATAATATTTCTTACAAAAGATGTTAAAAAACAATTAAACAAGCTGTTTGACTTATTAGAAATAGCTGGATCATGTTAACTTGAAATTTTGTAGTAATAAAATTCATCTCTGAAACTACAGAAAATCATGAATTTATAATATCTGCTTCAGGAAGTGATAACAGAATCTGTAGAATGCAGTCCATATGCTCATCTTAGGAAACACTGAAAATTAAAAATAAAATCAACCATATACATATTACCTAGACAGAGCCATTGTTACTATTTTTCTATAGTTTCTCCTGCTCCTTATTGTATGCATTCTGTAAAAAACATAATTACAATCATACTATATTTACATATCAAAATCTTTTAACCCATACAAGATTGCTGATGCTTGTTCACTCCATTAGGGAATGTTCTTCCCTTCACTTCTTAGCCCAAATCTCTCACTGTCTACAATATTAATTTCACCCATATTTCTTTAGCAATAATTTTATCCACATTTCCAAGTGTTCTCCATCTTTAATAGATAAGTAAGCATTTACTCATTCATTCATTCTTCAAATATTTATTGATGTTTATATGTAATAGGCAATTTGCATAATTTGTAAGAACTACTTTTTACTACTTAAATAGCATGACCCTAAGGTGTTTAAAACACATACAAATGAACCTGCACATAAGTTTAGAGATAAAACAACTGACAATGGCAGTTCAGATATTTTAATCTAGAAGTTGTGAATTGAAGGGGAAAAAAATGAAGAGCTGTTATAATATAAACCTACCTGTTTGGCCTACACAGGTTTTCCACTAATAGCTGGTGGAAAAAAATAATTTTTTTTTCATGTGTGACTGTAGGTGTTTTCTATATTCAACCTGTGAGGGGGAAAGTTTCTGTGAAATGACAGCATTAGCTAGTTTAGTGCTGTCAGACTTGAAAGAAGGCTGTTCCATGTAAATGCATAAAGACTCAGGAAGTATGTAACCTAGTTATGTAAACTGTAATACTCAATTCATAAAACCATACCCTATTTCAAAAAAATCCCATTTCAGACCTACTTTTAAGAGTTGGAAGATAGCTGAAAAAGCCTTCACATTTTGGCATTATCAATGACAAATATCTTAACAGTTGTAGCTGCTTTTTCTGAGACTACTCTAACCAGGAAATGGCACTGTAACCAAATGAATGCTTCCTGTCTGATTTTTCTCTCTTAAAAAAATTAAAGAGTATACCAATGGCTGTGTTGGGTGATAGAAACTCTGCATTGTTTCCTGCTAAATTATCTTTGAAAAAAGTTGTTCTTTATTTGTATAGGATTGTTTATAAAGTATCAAGGAATATCCTGAATAGATCCATTCAGATAAAAAATAGATCCAAAATCAAGTGTTTGAGCAGGTACAGAGGCAAAAATAGAGTGGTAATAACCCATAAACTGTGTAATAGAGGTCTCATTTCTCTATGGTGAAATCCTTTTATAACCACAAATTCCCAAACCTTATTCAGTGGTTTACTTTTCTTTGGTATCTTTATTATGATGAAATTTCAAAAATTTGATCTAAGTACACTAAAGTAAGAGCCAGAAAATTCAGTTTCTTTTTATTTTGAGACAGAGTCTCACTTTGTTGCCCAGGCTAGAGTGCCATGGTGTCAGCCTAGCTCACGGCAACCTCAAACTCCTGGGCTCAATCGATCCTTTTGCCTCAGCTTCCCAAGTAGCTGAGACTACAGGCATGTGCCACCATGCCCGGCTAATTTTTTTTCTGTATATTTTTTAGCTGTCCAAGTAATTTCTATTTTTAGTAGAGACAGGGTCTCACTTTTGCTCAGGCTGGTCTTGCACTCCTGAGCTCAAAGGATCCTCCTGCCTTGGCCTCCCAGAGTGCTAGGATTACAGGCGTGAGCCACCACGCTTGGCCAGAAGATTCAGTTTCTAAGCCAAGTCCTGTAAATTGCTTCTGTATGACCCTGGACAAACTGTCTATAAATAGCTCTAACAACCTACCTAATATATAGACCAACTGTGGGGGTCAAGTTAAAGACTGGGTGTGGTGGCTATTAGGCTGGGTGTGGTGGCTCCTGCCTGTAATCTTAGCATTCTGGAAAGCCGAAGTGGGAGGATAGCTTGAGGTCAGGAGTTCAAGACCAGCCTTTGGAAGAGTGAGACCCTATCTTTACTAAAAATAGAAAAATTAGCTGGGTGTGGTGGCACTTGACTATAGTCCCATCTACTTGGGAGGCTGAGGCAGGAGGATTGCTTGAGCCTAGGAGTTTGAGGTTGCTGTGAGCTAGGCTGACACCCCAGCACTCTAGCCTGGGTAACAGAGCAAGACTCTGTCTCAAAAAAAAAAAAAAAAAAAAAGAGAGAGAGAATACATGTTGAAGCTATCTGTTATCTGTATATATGCCAACCACTATGAACCTTTTTCCAGGAAAGATGACGGTGGCTTACCAAAAATGCATCCAGAATGAAATAAATTTTTTTAAATGTGAGCAAGGAAAACAGAATTAAAGGGACAATGGTGTAGGGAAAGATAAGTAAGAAAGTGGGATATTAATAAAACATAAAGACACATTTCATAAGATCCTTGTACATTAGCTAGAAGTATACACATATTTAGCTATTTCTAGTAGCCTAAAAGTGCTTTGAAATCTGAATTGGGCTATACAAATGTAAGGCATTGTTATTAAGTTTAATAACTTAAGTTGATGGTCCTTTTGGGTCTGTTATATTAGGATTTGATTGGTGTTCGTAGTCCTGAAATCTGGTTCTGTAGTTCACCATGGTTTTTTTTTTTTTTATTTGTTCCTGTTTGTGATGCCCTTCAGGAACAGTATGAACTGGTCTACAATGCTGTATTAGAACTATTTAAGAGACAGATGGATATTATCAGCGATAAATACTCTGGAACAGAGGTAAAGTTTAAAATAGATATTATGTCAAAATTTTTTTCATACTAGCTTTTGTTCAAGGGATCTCAGATTAGTTGCAGGACTTATCCATTGTCACAACTAAACTGGAGTGTCAGGTGTGCATAGGGCTACACTGAAAATTTCTTGAGGAGAAGGACAAATTAATTTGATGTAATTTAACCTAAAAAAATTAATGTCTTGGTTAACCTACTACATACACTTTTCAGCTAAATTTAGAAACAACAGCAGTAAAAGGGGAAGCATATATTCTATTCCCATGTTTTAGACAGTTGTGTGAGGAGTTAGAAGTAAGAGTGATAAATATAAAGTTAGTCAAAGTTAAGTGATTTTTCAGGTTGTACCAGCCTTATTTTGATTGTAACTGTCTCAATGAATTTTTTTAATTAAAAAAAATGGTAAATAAAAATTGTATGTATTTTTGGCATATAACATGTTTTGATATATGTATACATTGTGGAATGACTAAATTCAGCTAATTAACATAGCCATTGCCTGACATACTTACTGTTTTTTGTGGTGAAAACATTTAAAATCTACTCTCTCAGTAATTTTTAAGTATACAATATATTGTTAATAACTATAGTCACCATGTTGTACAATAGATCTCTTGAACCTATTCCTCCTAACTGAAATTTTGTATCCTTTAACCAACATTTCTCCAACCCCACCACCCCTACTCCTTGCCTAGCTTCTGGTAACCTCTATTTTACTCTCTGCTTCTGTGAATTTGACTTCTTTAGATTCCACATATAAGTGAGATCATGCAGTATTTGCCTTTCTGTCTGGATTATTTCATTTAGCATAATGTCCTCTAGGTTCATCCATGTTGTCACAAATGACAGGATTTCTTTCTTTTTTTTTAAATGTATTTATTTATTTTGTATTACTTCATATTATGGGAGTACAAATATTTTTAGGGTTACATATCTTGCTCCTGTCCCCCCCCAACCCCGCTATGCCAGAGCTTCTAATGTGTCCAGCCTCCAGGTGGTGCGCACTGCACCCACCGTGTAAGTACATACCCTTCCCCTCCTCCCCCCTTCCACCTGCCCGATTACAGATTTTTTTTTCTCAGACATTTTGGTTACCATGTGTATCTTTCTTTATCTCTCCCTAAAAAGGGATAGAGGTAATCTCTCCCTCCCCCACAATGCTCGCCACTTTCTTAAGATGTGGGTCTCCCCCCACCAAATCCTTGTTGAACACTACCATTTTTTGAGCACCATAGTTTTAGTCAATCAGTACCAATTTGATGGCGAGTAGATGTGTAGCCCCTTTTCCAGATCTTGTATCGTCTTGCTTTGTATTACGGGCTTAAGCTTAATCCAGGATAGCATAAACGGTGCTAGCTCACTGTCATTTCTTAGGATTGAGTAATATTCCATTGTGAGCATATACCACATTTTAGTTATCCATTCATGAATTGACGGTCACTTGGGTAGTTTCCATGACCGTGCAATAGTGAATTGTGCTGCCATAAACATTCGGGTGCAGATGTCTTTATAATAGAGTGACTTACGTTCTTTTGGGTAGATGCCCAACAATGCTATTGCTGGGTCGAATGGTTTTCTATTTCTAGTTGTTTGAGGTATCTCCAAATTCTTTTCCACAAAGATTGCACTAATTTGAAGTCCCACCAGCAGTGTAAGAGTGTTCCTGTCTCTCTGCATCCTCGCCAGCATTCATTCTTTTGGGATTTCTTGATACGGGCCAATCTCACTGGGGTTAGGTGGTATCTCATTGTGGTTTTGATTTGCATTTCTCTAATGATTAGAGATGCTGAACATTTTTTTATATGTTTGCAGGCCATTATTCTGTCTTCTTTGGAGAAGTTTCTGTTCATTTCCATTGCCCATTTCTTGATGGGGTTGTTTGATTTTTTTCTTGTTTATTCTTTTAAGTTCTAGGTAGATTCTTGTTATTAGACCTTTATTGGAAGTGTAGAGAGCAAATATTTTCTCCGACTCTGTGGGTTGTCTATTTGCTCTAATGATCGTTTCCTTGGCAGTGCAGAAACTTAAAAATATGGAACGCTTCATGAATTTGCGTGTCATCCTTGCGCAGGGGCCATGCTAATCTTCTCTGTATCATTCCAATTTTAGTATATGTGCTGCCAAAGCGAGTACTCTTTCTTTTTTTCTTAAGCCTGTGTGTTATTTCATTGTGTATATATATATCACATTTTCTTTATCCATTCATCCACTGATGAACACTAAGATTGATTCCATATGTTGGCTACTGTAACGGTGCAATGAACATGGGAGTGCAGATAGCTCTTTGACATTGTGATTTCATTTCTTTTAGATATATACCCAGAAGTTGAATTGCTGGATCATATGGTAGTTCTACTTTAAATTTTTTGAGGAATCTCCATACTGTTTTCCATAATGGCTATACTAATTTACATTCCCACCAATAGTGTACAAGTGTTCCTTTTTCTCCAATATTTGTTACATCTTGGCCTTTTGCTAATAGCCATCCTAACAAATGTGAAATGATACCTCATTGTGGTTTTAATTGGCATTACCCTGATCATTAGTGATACCGAACATTTTTCATATACCTGTTGGCCATTTGTGTATCTTCTTTTGAGAAATCTTTTCAGGTCTTTGGTCCATTTTTAAATAGGTTTGGTTTTTTGCTATTGAGTTGAGTTCCTTATATATTATTAATATAGCCCCTTATCAGATGTATGGTTTGCAAATATTTTCTTCCATTCCATAGGATGTCTCCCTTTTTTTTAGTAACTGAAATTTTATTGGTTGAGGATCAGTACATAGGCATTTCAATGTGTACACAATTTTTAACATATGTACTGAAAATCCAAAAAGCCATGTGTTGTAATTCTTTTTTAATAGTTATTCCAGTGTCTTTCCAGCTTAAAATTGGAGGCAAATTCTCCTTAAGAGGATATCAAGTACCACTATCTTCATATGTTAATAAGCGGTTACATAAGTTTGACTAATTCACAACTTACATACATTACGCACACACATTTTCAATCTTCACAGCACATTAACAAAGTTATTAGGAAAACAAGACTACCATGACCAAAGATGTTACAAAGTACCCACAGTTCTGACAGGGAGAGCCATGATCAAGCAGTGGTTTTCTTTAGGAAACAATTCTACTAAAAAACAGCATGGAGCTGGATGCGGTGTCTCATACCTGTAATCCTAGCACTGCAGGAGGCCAAGGTGGTGGGATTGCTTGAGGTCAGGAGTTCAAGACCAGCCTGAGAAGAGCAAGACCCCATCTCTACTAAAAATAGAAAAAATTAGCTGGGCATGGTGGCACATAGCTGTAGTCCCAGCTACTGGTGAGGCTGAGGCAGGAGGATAGCTTGAGCCCAGGAGTCTGAGGTTGTGGTAAGCTATGATGATGCCATTGCACTGTAGCTGGGGTGACAGAGTGAGACTCTGTCTCAAAAAAACACTCAAAATACAAACAAACAAAAAATCCCCCAAACAAAAACAAAATACTATGGAAATAGAGGTAATTTAAAATGTTCCAGATATTAAATACAGGACTGTGACTCCATATTGCCATTTAGTATGCTTTGTATTATAGGATATAAAAACTAAGTCCCCATCTATGAAATGCTAAGCTGACACCCAAGATAGTCAAAGCCTCCTGTAATTCAATATCCCATGCTATTTTCTGGTTGTACCAAAAAATAAACAAGCAACAAATGATTTTACTTGTTTAAAAAAAGCATTTACACTTAAAAAACGGGATGAAGTGGGATTTCCCCCCTTTAAAATGTTGTGAGGCTGGATGCAGTAGCTCACACCTGTAATCCTAGCACTTTGAGAGGCCAAGGTGGCAGAATTGCTGGAGCCCAGGAGTTTGAAACCCCATCTCTACTGAAAATAGAGAAAATTAGCCGGGCATGGTGGCACATACCTGTAGTCCCAGCTACTGGGGAGGTTGAGGCAGTGGATGGGTTGAGCCCAGGAGTCTGAAGTTGTGGTGAGCTATGATGATGCCACTGCACTCTAATCAGGGTGACAGAATGAGACCCTATCTCAAAAAAAGAAAAAAGTTTCTAGAGCTACTAAAAGAACTCGCATTTATAAAATAGTTGATAAAAATATTCCTCTGGATTGTACAAGAAAGGAAACAGGGACCCCTGATAGGACATGGTATATGATATTAATCAGACTTGGCTTCTTTCTCTCCTGTTTCATCAGAAGCTACACTTTTGGTTGTAGTGTCTCTGTTTTCTGCAGATAAATCTCTAGTTTCTTGGTCAGATACTTCTGCCTGTTTTCTCTTTGCTCCCCTTTTCACTTTTGTTTGCACTTTTTTGTCTGAAGATTTATCCTTTCCTGCTGCCTTTTTGGCTTTGTTTCTACTTCTGCAGGAATAAGTTTAGCTGCCAACCATGCTGATCTCCTCTTGGGCTCTTCCTTCATTGCCCCTTTGGCTGAGCTGACCTTCTTCCTGGGCATGTTGGCCATTGGGAGGGTGTGTGCCAGTTGCCAGATTGCCGAGAGCCTTTGTAAGGCTGGGCTGCCTGGCCATTTGGCTGTCTATTTACCCTGCATTATTGAATCCTGAGAATATTTTGGAATATCCAAAGGATTATTAGCTGAAGGTCTAAGACTTAAAAACTATTATAATTTGGCCAATTTTAAAATGTTGAGAGTTCTAGAATATGCTTCTTTTTTTTTTTTTTTGAGACAGAGTCTCACTCTGTTTTCCTGGGCTAGAGTGTCGTGGCGTCAACCTAGCTCATAGCAATCTCAAACTCCTGGGCTCAAGCGATCCTTTTGCCTTAGCCTCCCAAGTAGCTGGGACTACAGGCATGTGCCACCATGCCCGGCTAATTTTTTTTCTGTATATTTTTAGCTGTACAAGTAATTTCTTTTTATTTTTAGTAGAGATGGGGTCTCGTTTTTGCTCAGGCTGGTCTCAAACTCCTGAGCTCAAACAATCCACCTGCCTCAGCCTCCCAGAGTTCTAGGATTACAGGTGTG